CTTTTATCGCCAAATTACTTTTCTAGAGTTTTCTCCTTTAATTTTCGCCCACTAGTCTCGTGGAATGGCCAAACAATGACTGGCATGATTTGCATATAAACAGTGACGTACTTAAACTAAATATTTGCCACCGACACACATGTGTGTATGTATATATACTTCGTATATGATTTTAATATTTATCTGCGTACCAAATGTTGTTTGCCAAATATGTATTTAATTCTACAAACAACTCTGTAAATTAGATGAATATATTTCCTGGGCACTAACACATCTATGGCGCAAAACACTAAAGAGTATAAAGTCAAATATAACCGTACCGATTAAATTAGCTACTCAGTTACACTTCTCCTTTTCATTTTGATGAATCTCACATTGAATTCCAGGTACACTAACTAAGACGATCCGTTATCTTTTACGATTTCTGAAGTTAGTCTTCGATGTAACCTGCGAATCATTCAACTTTGCCCACTGTGCCTGAAGAACGTGATTTCTCCAGCACTAAATCTCAAGTACGTTTCGAAGTAATTTTCACCTTTTATGTTACTTTTAATGAACCCATTTTCCCGGCTGTCGAAGTTTCAAGGTGCCTTCCAATATCTGACACTTGAAATCCTCCCTTCTACCTGCATCAGTAGCCTGAAACTTCTACAGCTGAAAAGCTGAAAACTCTTGCGGACTGCCACCATGAGGGCAATGATCTATGCAAGCTTGGCTACCAGCGTCGGTAAAGCCCGCAGAATGGGAACCAAGCAAGAGAGTTCCTTGTGTACAAAGTGGGTTCGCATTTCCATACAGATAGGGAGGAAGTCAGATTCGAATTCACAAATCTCTCGCCCGCCTCCCTCCACCGCCATCACTTTTAAGGGCATATAGCACATCCCACTTTCTACTCTTAGCGTGGAAAGTAGTTTGTCGCGGTAGAATAAACACTTGTCAGATCAGAAGCAGCCTACTTGCGCCTGTTTCACCATTCTTATTTCAGAACTCTGAGCTAAAAATAAAACAAGAAAAAAAAATGAATTTAGCTATTTTCTGAATTAAGAACAAATGTAAAGCATTTGTACCCATCACGAACAGAGAATAGCATTAAAGTCCATGGCATTTCTGTAATGTAATACTACGTTTTAATGCTGTAAAACAATCTAGTCAAATTACAGCTGCTGCAATCTTTTTACTGCGAATATTTTAGACTACAATTCGTACTTTTAAAAATGTAATTCATGTTATGTAAATTAATTCTGTTGGAGCTCCAGATATTTCTCTGCTGACAAATTCAATTTGATTTGGGACTGTAACGAAATTAAAAAACCTCTGGTGTATCACCATACCCCATGTCAAGGCACAAGATTATTTTCAAAGAATTACAATCAAAGATGGAGCATTCAACATATTACTAAGATAAAATTTCTAGGTGAACATAAACATTTTGATGCTGGCTAAACCAGAGAGAACGTGAGCTAGCGAAGAAAATGTAATTTAAAAATTTGGGGGAAATGAAACCGAATTTAAATACTGTTAACTTTCAGAGAGAACCCGCCCGGGATGCCTAATTAGAAATGGATTTGTGAGACAGGGTCTTCAGGTTTGCTAAACTTGTGCTATTATAGGGCGTAATTTAAACAAGGAGGCTGAGTTTTAGACCAGTGAAAAGACACGTTTGTTTGGAGCTGAATCACCTGTTTTGCTGAATCTTCCATTAGCTAAAAGGACGTAGTTGGGAGCGCTGAGAGGGAGTGTAGAAAGAGGAGAAGGAATAAGGAAACAGACACTCAGAAAAGTGGAATGAAGGAACAGAAATGTAAAAGATATCTTAAAGAAAAGGACACGAGAAAGTCGTAAAGACGGCAAGGCACGGAAGATGATTCAAAAGCGAACAAAAGAAGGAGAAAATTCGACCTTGTTGTAACGTAATAAGAGATCAAGGGTCATATCTGAAGATATGTAGCCTGGGTGTTCGATTGCATCACAATCACAATATTCTTCCTGTCAAGTGCTCCTTCGAAAACTGAAAACTATAAAGCAGGGATTCTCAAAATTTCCCAGACCGAAAGCAAATTCACACTTAAAGACGTCTGTCTTCTGGGCTGTTTTGCAATGTAATCTGATAAAAAAAAATTCGGTGTCTCAGAAGTGCTTGCTGCCTACATGATCAGGGCGACAAGTGAAGATGGCTGTATTCTGGGTTGGATTTCATGATCTTACGGCGATGAGAACGAGTATCTAGTCACTGTGTGGTGACTAGACCCTTTGATAAACCCCTTTATATAATTTAAGGTATACAGTGTCGGATACACGCGATTATACCTCACAACTTGAACGTTTTTCCCGCTTCCTTCGTTCTGTAAGTTTACGTCCCGATATTAAAGCGGTCCTTACACGTGGAACACTAATCGTTATGGTTTCTAAAGACTGAATACTGAGCCGATCTCGTAACTTTTTTTTAAGATGCTAGGGTAATTGAATACCACGCGGTTCCGGAACGTTTGGAATATACCCTGCACCATTAAACCGTCGCGACCTTCAGCCATTCAATGGGCTCTTGACCAGACGCTGGTCGTTAAATAAGAAAGTTCAAATCGATATAAGGAACAAGATCCATTGGCTACTCTCCAAGCAAAACAGTCGATATAGGCTCTACTGTGGAGAGGGGGAAGTTGTTTCAATGGTCAAAAAGTCGTAAGGAGCATACAACAAAAGTTTACGTCTGCAGGGAAAACGTAGAACTCTTCAGTATAAAATTTGGACCCAGTTTGGACTGATTAAGTATCCTATCAGGAATGACCTGAAAATTTTCCTTTACCCTAATTCTCATAACCTGCCGGCCAAGCCAACTATCTCTGATGATGTCGTTCTTTATGGTTTTGGCGCCGTGCAGTCTCGTCGATAGAGACCAACGTTTCGTAGAAACATACTGTCTACATCTACAGGGTTGAAATGGTGACAGTGGGAAGTGGAGGGATTTATAACTTCCACTTACCAGCTTCACCATTTCAGCCCTGAAGGTTTCTACAGCAATTTTCTCCGAAACTTTGGCGTCTGCACGGCGCCAAACCCAGAACTACATCATCATCCTCGCAGCCGTAAAATCCTCAAATCTCACGAATTCATGGACTTACACAACGCTGTGGAATGTCTTTGTAATGTACGGTATCGACACTGATGCGAGAAAGCATTGCCCCTTAAGAAATTATAACCCAGAAATCACAAAGTGCAGATCCTGAAGTGAACCGTGATTCTTTTGTCAAAAACATCAACAATGTAAGAAGTTGCTAACGAAACAAACATAAAATGTTACTAGCTTCCAAGAAAACGGGTGTTAGTTGAAGAAGTTCATTAACTTTAGATATTCTGCCTGTGGCTGGATGTTCACTGTACCCCCATATTCGGTTACGTATATTTATGCAGGAAACGAGTGTTAAACTTCTTAGTATCTTGAAAATGGTCCAGAAAACAGGCCATGCATGCTTCTAGCGCTTATCTGTACGACCATAATGTGGAGCAGCTTGAAATGTCTCCCGCCACCCTGTGGCTGTTTCACCACCCTTCGGCGGAGACTTTGAACGAGTTCAGGTCGTAATCAGAACCCTCGGGCTCTCTCTATTTTCGATAACAAGAGCACAGTAATAATTTATTTATTATTCCCACTGATTTCGCAGTCATCATTATTACAAACCCCGCAGGGTACATACAATTTACGTCACTCTATTGTAAGAACGCGAAAACGCGTTTATGTTTCTACTCATTAATTATTTAACGCCTTTGTTCATGAAGATACGACTGGGGTGCATTGCAATATGCCAGAATAATAATCAAACAAATTTTCCCTTCATTACTGAGATTCTACGCCATTCACATATCGCTCTACATCCGTGTGAACAGTATTTAAAACCATCAATTTTTTTAAACCAGCTACAAGACGAGGCTTATCGAAATCTTTAATATTATCATGAATTTATATTTAGCGTGTTTATAAAATATTAATGCGTCCGCGCATGGTCTGCATATTAATATAAAATACTTTATTGGCTCTAAATGTAAAGATTAATATTCAAGCTTCTTCAGTTAAGTTTAGGTTGTGAAAATAAATAAAGTGGCAATTTATGTTAATGCCTCTTGAGTTAAAAGAATGTTTTTAAATTTATGGCCCCGATTTGTAAAGACTGTTTCTTTATTGTTTTCTGAACGAAAATCAACTTATATAGATAGATCAACAGACAATACAAAAAGGATATTTTAAAGCTTCAATACACATACCAATGCTTTTAACTGCAAGGCACGAACAAACTTATTTTCTTCAAAATCCCATAACAGGTAATATAACGTAATTTCCTCTCCGTTCATGAAAACATTTCATTTTGACAAGTATCTATTGCAAAGATTCTTCAACTTACTTCTATAAATGCATGCCCATCAGTTTATTAAACGAGATATGTGAAAATAAAAAAATACTTTGAATTTTATTCCAATATTTGTTACAATTTACAAATTAAATCAGAATAGTAATAAAAACTGAAGGGGAGAATCATTTGAAAGACCTAAGCATAGACGAGAAGATAATATTAAATACATTCTTAAAGAAACAAGTTGTCACATATAGGTTGGATTCACTTTGCTCACGATAAGAACCGGTGGCGGGCTCTTGTGAATACGGTAATGAACTTTCGGACTCCATTAATGTCAGCGTGTCAATTATAAATATGTCTAACCTACCAACACTTTGCATAACAACCCTATCTACGTAAGATTTGAGGTTTTGACAGCGGTGAGTATGAAGATTTCTGTCTTCTGGGTTGTTGCGCTGTGTAGTCTGGACGATGTCTGTCATCACCCTGATGACGGAGGCAGTATGACCTCTAAAACGTTGGCTAACATCGACCAGACTACACAGCGCAACAACCTGGAACACAGAAATCTTCGACCTCTTCAATTACGTGACGACAATTTCTGTGTTTCATTTACTCATCTCAACGAGACATTGGAGTGAGTTACAGGACCCATTCAATTATATAAGGCATTTTATTTCTCAGCTGCATTCGGGTACACACGTAAGTCTCGATCTTCTTTCCATATTTCCATATAAAAAGAACAAAAGGATAAATGTTCAGAGAAGTTAACCACTGAGCAGCGTTCACACTATCTTTTGCCATACACACATTTACACTGATAAGACCGAGATTTACTTTTGGCAATTAACTGAATGAATGAAGTAACTTCACTGTCCCTTGCTGTCGCTAATAACGACTACAGTGTCCACCTGCATTAGTCTCAACCCCATACCACAAACCTTGCTGGCAATTTATTCAAACATATTCCTTTCTCTCTAATTTAACGGTCCGAACATCTACGGATATGAATTTTATGCATTAAACAAATTACTTTCCAAGACCAATATGAAATGCACACGTGTATTCTTAGGTCGTCTTTAACAATGTCAAAGGACAGCGTTTGATCAGTCACGTGCATCACTGAATTATCAGCCAGAGACACTAAAACATATTCAAAAATCTATTCATTTCCTTCGCAAATGCCCTTGCAGAAAAAAAAGTCTCAGTAACATGTTTCAAAATCAATGAATTCAGCGAAGAACTGACTCCTCACGGCCTACGAGACGCACGTGACGTTATCGCCTGCGGACATTTGCCTTTTACGTAACGAGTCCTATAGCCTGAAGGAAACTTGACAGCAAGGTTGGGCTATAGCAGTAATAAGTTTACTGCGCGGGCAAGCTGAGTAATATGTTTTGCCCCGGAGGTAGGTACGCCACGTGTCGAGATCGCGAAAGCTGGTATGCGATGTCTTCGGCGGCTTCGATTCTTCTCAGTTCCACGAGACCTTCGCCAGAGGCTCCGAATGACTTGGCAAGTAGAAGTGCAGCCTGCGCATCGCCCTCTGCCGTGATCACTGCCGCCTTCTTCTGCTGTTCAGCCTGAAATACCAACATTTTACTTTAAACACAAAATCTCTCTTTACACAGACACGCAGAAGTTTTGGGAACGAGAATTTGACGTTACCACTAAAAATCTGTTCTGCAACAACTGCAGATTAAGGAACAGATCCCAGTCAAATGTTGGCTACTGTACACATGGATGCTGTATGGACTTCCTAGGCCTGAAACGGGTTATTACTCTTAGACCGTCGTGTGGTCAGGTTACTCAACTGACCGAAGAATGGGAATTTGGATGAAAAATACTGTGAACACATACTTTATGTTGACTTTATGTCAATACTTCAGGATCTCATTCGACGCTATATAGTCCGAGCTGCTGAGAAAGTGTCGTTAAATAAACTATAACTAAATAAATTCGGGATCTTATTCCTGATGCCATTCCCAGTCGCAAATGTCATATGGACATGAGTCTGACTCTCACTGGTTATAGAACTATGGACCGATATTAAAGACGATTTGAACAACACAAAATACAATTGAGGCCAACCCTCAAATAACAATGTATGGCACTTTTATGGTAAAACTTCCTACGTTTTGCCCTCCACCTTTTGCCACAAAGCATTATTACACAGTATATTTACAATGTATAACAAAGAATTCCAGGAAGAACACAAATTCTAGATTCCAACTGCATAAACCTCTAGTCCAACAAATCTTGGGTTTAATGTCACAGTTAGGTAATGCAATTTAGACCTTAGTTAGTATTCTAGGGTCATGTGCGGATGTGACATGATCAAATCTTATATAACTCTTTTCATCTGCAATTATAAATTTTACAGATTGTCGTTATCTTTATTTCCTTTTAGACGAGAACTTTCTATTTAGCTACAGATTACAGATTCTGCATATCCTGAATTTTCCTGCCGTAACATCAAATATTAGCGCAATCTCTGCATTTGTTATTGTTGATTAAATAATATTTCAAACAGAATCTGTAGGAATGTTTATAATCCATCTCTAAACTAAATGTCACATGCCTAGTTCCAGTGGTTTGTTAGTTTTCAAAATAAAATTGTGATCCTCCTCTCATGGTCGTTACCTTTTCTACAAGGAAACGAGCCTTCTCCGCATCTTGCTGAGCAACCTGTTTCAACTCCACGGCTTGCGTGAACTCTTTGCCGAATGTTAAATGTGTCTGTAAGAAGAACACACAAAACACATTTTAAAATTAAGTGAAATCTTACATGAAACTTCTGGTTCCATGAAAGATAGGTAATTCTTGACTACAGGAGCATCTAAAAGTTTCTCAAGAATTGTACTGAATGAAATTAATCAATAAAATCTTCTTGGGCACTCGGCCACTTCGACTGGTTACATGAAGTGACATCAGACATCAGAACCCTGATGATGGGGATGATGATAATTCCCAAAACATCGGTCGCTTCACGTATTCAATGCAGATGAGTTTAGTAATCGTGAAAGCTTCAAACCATATCTCACCAACCCTTACAGCAATTAATCAAGATAGCGTAATTCCAAGTGTTTGCTTGAGAATAATCTTGCTTCATTCCTGCACATCTGCACCACCGTCTCTACACTGTGGTGCATAATGCAACATATTCTAAATATGTTATTAACATCCAATTTACATGACAGATAATGTTCAAACTGTCACTGTTCATCTTGCAGCATGTCTCATAGTGTCTGTGACAGTGATGTCCAATAAAACATGGAAGTGTAGCAAATTTTGTCTCTCAGCTTTCCAATTCTTTTGATTCTGTTTAAACAAGATATTTTGCTAGTCTTAGACGCCAAGATTTGAACCCAAGACCACCAAATATGAAGCTCAAATATTTACAACTCAGTGACATACATTTGGAATGCATAAATGAACTTACTATAGATATGTCATCCAAGATAACACCAAACTGCGAAGCTCGGTCCATCAGATCCTCACTGACCTTCTGAGACACAATTTCTCGCTGTGTAATCAGCTCACCAGCATCAAATTGAGCCTATAACAAAGCGCAAATAACCATTAAATAGATAGGATTATCTAAATTTAAAGAAAAACTGGCTGGACAAATAATAACCTGAAGATTTCTGTCTTCTGGGTTCTTGCGCTGTGTAGTCTGGTCGATGTTAACCAACGTTTCTGAGGTCATTCATTCATCGCCCTGATGACAGAGGCAGTATGACCTCTGAAACGTTCGTTAACATCGACCAGACTACACAGCGCAAGAACCCAGAAGAC